GTGGTGGGAGGTGCTGGCCCACGGCAACCGTGTGTCACAGGGCTTCTGCCCCCCGCGCTGCCTGCACGCCAGAAATGGGTGTGAGGGATGCAGAAATATGAAGAATAATAGTATCTTTTGATTCTCCTAGCTAATATTAGAAACTAGGAAAAAAAAAAAGAGGTTGGGAGCTGAAGACGATCTGGAAGAGCTCAAGGTGCTTGTGTTACACTGCGTGTGGGTGTGGTTTATCGGGTGATTAATGAACTTTGTTAAGGACTGTTGCAGGGTAGGTGAAGGGAAGGCTGAAAGCACATAATGTCAGCGTTAGCGTTACTGCAAACACAAGGTTAACCACAAATTAACAGTGCAGCAACTTCTTCGGGCCTGGGGCTCTGGGGTAGTTTCAGCCCCACGCCCCACCCTCCAGCCACCGCGCTTGGCGGCGAGCGCTGTGCTCGCTCCTGGCATGTGTTGGGTTATGAGGCTGCCCTATTCTCAATGGTGCTAGAGAGGCAATTGAAGCCAGTTGCACCACGTTTGGCCTGTTTCTAGTTCCTTTCCTGTTTTGGTGTTACACTGATCTGTAATGCCCATATGATAAAAATCTGTGTTCTTATCCTTCACCCATATTTCCCTTCCTTGAGAGGCCTCGCAGCAGCTAGCTACGCTCCAGTAGGTGCAGGTTTCTATTTGTCTGGTAACATTTGTTTTAAATTATAAACAAACATTAAAATCAAAGGCTAAATGGATGAGAGTCTGCTTTCTTATTTGACCCTGGAGCAACTTCATGTATGTGCCTAACCTCATTTCTACCCTCACTACTAATGCAACTGATTAGACAATTTCTGGTTTTTACAGTAGCATTCAGCAATTAATACAAACAATATAATTGCAATTAACTATGGGTTGGATAAATCAGTGCAGTGCTACATCAGTCTGCGGGGACCATCCTGTAAAGCTGTGGCACCAATGGTGGACTATAAATGTTTGTGTTTCCAAGCCAGCCTCTTGATTTTTCCGTTAGTACTTGTAACCTCTGTTGATGCTAGTGATGCTGCATTTCCAGAACCCTATGAAAGCTCTTGAAATCTCTGTGTGTGCCATTAACATGGCATTTTCCTTCCCCATTAACTCCCAAGGCATTGTTAAAATTTAGAGGATACAACTGGTATTTAGTTATATCATGCTTCGCCATTACAAGTTTCTTCATCTCCTGTAGAGATAAACACAGTATATTTGCACTAATGAAGAGGAAAATAACTTCCTGAACACCACACAGCTACATAAAAGCTGATACCACACGTACAACCACTGCTATTTTCCTCTGTTCTTGGCAGCTGTTATTTTTGTGCATGTAATGTACCTGCAACACTGCTGTGTTTAACGTCACAAACACGAGGTGGTGATAATGCTGTGCAGAGGGAAATGCAGCCTGGCTGGTAACATCAGCTGGCAACATCCCATAGCCAAAATTGTCACCAACAATAAATGGCAGTGGCCAGATAGGACACGGGCATCTTGTTTGTGATGTTTTCTTTGGTATTCATATGCCCTGCTTAGGTCTTGGCTCTGATGGTCTTGATACCATGCTTAGTTTTTTATCCTAAAGATTATGCCTGTGGTATCTTGCTCCATATTAGGAGTTTTATATGTCATATACAGACCCCTGTACACAAGAGACGTGGGGTTATGTGTGTTGATACGGGTTTTGTGGTGCTGAACCACACGACATGTCTGCGTAGGCATGATGAACCTGGGGCTGGCTGTGGTGTAACCAGTAAAGGTGAAGCACCTCCCCTTCCAATGGGGAAAGAGCCATTTCAGCTGTGTTTTGCTCCTAAGCACTTTCTGTACAATTTTCTCCTCTCCGGCTACACTGAGATATATTTTCTCCAAATTGCATTGTGAGGAATAGCACAGTCCCTCCACCACACAGACTTTTGTCAGTGCTAAGCTTTTCTTACATTGTACTGGTATCTGCTCCAGGACCTGATGCTACGTAGAGGCTAGTAGTTGCGTTTTTAGCTGGTATGCTGTTGACCCAACAGCACTCATGATTGTAATGAGCCCTTGTCCTTTTGGTTTCTTTCCCACCTTTAAGTACTTGACTGATCCCTCACGCTCCCTTGACCTGGCTTCTAGGGGCTTACAGGCATCTGCCTTTGACCTGACTTTAAGTAATGCCTCTCCAGTTTGGACTTTGAATATTGCTGTATCTTCTCATAGCAGTTTTCTGCAGGGAATGTAACAGTCTTGGTGTTGGGCCTCATAAAGACAACAGTTAAGCTCCATCTTTAAAGACTTTAGGTGTCCAAAACTAATGGACTTGGAAGAGGGAAGGGGAAACAACCTCATTGTCATTTGAGACCCGGATCAGATGCCTGTTAACGTCAGAGGAAGCTGTTCTGCCTGCAGTCTTTCAACTTGTTTATTTTAAACCCCAGTTTGTTCTTTTTCCTTGTCCTGAGGCCTGGGGATGGTACTGCACACACCAACCGCTGTGTCGGGATGCTCTGAGATGCCACCTGCATGACATCTGCCATGATGACAGGGCCTTGGCCAGCATCACTTACCCGTTGAGTCCCCTATCAGGTAAACACTACCTTAACAGCAACATCTTCATACAAAACTTTTATATACCCTGGAAATACCCGTCACTATTCAAAAATATCTCTGTCCTCCTTTGGTTTGTGGTAGTTTATCAGCATACAAATATATAATCCACTTGGGGCCAGGCCTAGGGATCATCTTTTCTTTGATGTTACAATCAAAAGATTGGCAAAAATTCCTCTTCCTAGGCCTTAGTTATTGCCTAACTATTCCATAAGCAACACGGGCTCTTTGTCCTCCCTGTTTTACCTCTTGCTTGAGGTCCTCCTGCTCCTCCCTGTGGGTGAGGCAGTGGGGATGGAGACTTTTGCAAAGAGGCCCTCTTTGCTACATCATGCCCAGACAGGCCCCCCACCCTCCGCAGGAATCTGCCTTTGATCCCCATTCATTGGCCCTAAGGTCCCCTCCCGCAAAGCACGGCCAAGATCCCAAATCTGTGCACAAAATGATAACATTTATTGAAAGAGTAATTTTTTTTAATACAAAAGAAAGGTCTGTACATAGTACTGTGATTACTTCCACATCCTTCCAGAAACACAACCCTGGAAACTGGAGGGAAAAAAAAAAATAATCCCACACACACTTATGCGTACACACGCGCACACACGCGCACACACACACACAACCCTCAAACCAGTAAAATGAACTAAAAATGTCACCACACAATAAATGCCATTTCATCCCTGATACACAAGTGTTCTTACAAGTCTGCACTTAAATAAAATACACCATTAGCGTTTAACCAGCAGTTGCCTTTGGGGAGCCATGGAGAGGATGCAGTCAGACACCCTACCCTGTAGCAGCAGGGGCACTCCTGCCCTCCCGGCCCAACAGTTCTGCTCCACAGTGCTAGCACGAGCAAAGCGGAGCAAAGCCAGGCCACAGTGATGTGCTGGGGCAAAGGACAACGCAAACCCCAACGCCATCCTTCTCCCTGGACAAACTCCTAGGTACCCAACCTTGTTTTGGAAGCATCACTGAGCAGCTTTCATACACCTAGCAATGGGGCATGGCCCAGCGCTCCCACCTCCAAGCTGTGGGGTACACACCATTCTTAGAGCAAGGATACTAAGGGGGGGGGGGGCAGCATGCAATGTCACTCTCATTAGATGGGCCACCCCACTCCCCACAAGCCCTTCCCAGGCTAACAGACCTAGGGCTGAAAGATCGTTCTGGGACCTCTTTGCACAGAGGGCTTGGAGGGGACCTGTCCACATCTGTGCACTAAGGAACTGCTGTAGAGGAAGAAATACAGCCCAGATCATCAGCTAGGAGTTCACGAGATGCTACTTGCACAGTGAGCAGGGAGAGCAGGGATCAACCACTGCTGGCCACTCACCACCCAAGGAGTGGGGATGCGCATATCCCTTAGGCAGTCACAGGTAGTACTGCTCCACACCAAGAGCAGTGACAGAACAACCGCAGGTCCCAGGACCGGAGGTGAACAGGGCAGCCATCAGAAGACCCAGCCCATCTCTGGCTCCCAGGCACACTGCAAGCCCCTTGCTCCTGAGGGATGGGTTTCCCACTTCTAGAGTCCAGCCACTGCTTCGTTTGCCTTCTGCCCGTTAAGCCCAAAATGATGGGTACGGAGTCCTCAGTACAGGTAAGTGGAAAACAAGCATCCCACTCGGTTCAGCTTGATCCCTGGCACATGCTGGTGGGTGGAGAGTGCAGCTTAAACGCTAATGCTGAGGGAACATGTCCAAGGTTACAATACAAACTCAAAAGCAAGGCCCCTTTCCTGCCTCCATGCCCACCCACCCCTCTCCCATCCCCCTGGTACAAACCCCATGAAAACTGTACAGGAGCCAAACTTTTATTCCTTAAAGAATTACATAAATACTGAGTTTAACACTTAGAAAAATAAAGTCTTTTTCTTTTTTTTTTCTTTTTTTTTTTCTTTTTTACTTTTTTCTCCAAGGCTTCTTTTGTTTTTCACTTAAAAAAACGCTTCTTCCCCTAAGGATTCAGCAGCTTCTCTCACTTTCTCACTCTCCCTCCAAGGACAGGGCTAGGTAGCAGAGCCATTCACAGCAACTCCCATGCAGGACCAAGCACGCTCCAGCCCTTCTCCCCTGGCCTTGCTGAGCCTGCACAGGCATCACAGCTGCTCCTCCGCAGCCCAGGATGGCCTGTAGGTCACACTGGTGCTCAGAGGAAGAGCCTGCCACCTGCCCAGCAGCTCAGTGCCCCATGGGCTCTTCCCTTTGACACTTGAGTTGTTTCGCCACCTTGCATCAGACACAGAAATTTAGAAAGCGCTGGCTGGAGCTGCAGGGGGGTGTGGGAAAGACCCAGCCACGTTCCCCTGGGTGTACGGAGTCCACAAGCGGTGCGAGGGCTGAGAGGAGAGTGTGGCGCTGGGCCAGCCACAGGGGCCTCCAGGGCATCGTTGTGCTCCTGGGCATCCACCAACCACCTCAGCTGTGCGAGGGCAGCCACCAGGGCAGAGCCAGGCAGGCTGCAAACCTGCCAGGCAGCCCAGTGAGGAGGCACTGAGGGCAGAGGGCTCACCATAGTGCATACAGGGAGGACGGGGCCGCGTGCCACAGGCTGTGCCATGCCCTCCAGAGGGAGGGTGCACAGGCCCGACCAGAGATGCACATGCAAGCTGGCCACTCTCCCCTGTCCAGAGCCCAGGGTGAGTTGCTGTGGCCAGGACCTGTCACCCCCACAAAGGCACATTGCTGAGGCCAGGAGCACAGCCTCGGCCCACTCCGCTCCGAACTGTGCCCACAGGACAGCTCTGGGTCTGCACTGAGCCCCACGCAGAGCAAATACTCATGGGCAAGGTGACTCAGAGCACCCAGAAGGGAGCCAGAGCCTCCAGCTGGGAATGGCCCACAGTATTTTATTTACAGCACAGAGCAATCCTCCCCTCAAGAGGCAAGTTTCTTTGGCTGGCGTGAGACAAGCACAGCTACTGCGGCATCCAAACACCCCCAAGCCCTGCATGGCCCCAGCACAGCTACAGCCCAGGTGGGTCCTGCAGCCCCACACGCGTGCCTGTGTGTATGTGTGTGTGGGTGCGTGTGTGTGTGTGTGCATGTGTGGATGAAGGAAACGTGAAAAGGCAACAATAAATAACTGGTGCAGTCTGTACGAGAAGGAATTGCTGCCAGACCCGGCACTGGCATGACAAGCCAGGGACAGCACAAGGCCGGCAGCAGAGGCCTCTCAGTCACTCTTGGCGCTGTGTGAGGTGTCCAAGTTGACCACCTGCAGCTCCGTCAGGCTGCTGCCACTGCTGCTCTGCTGCCCGATGACTGCCATCTAGAGAGAAAAGGGAGGAGGAAGCACTGGGGGTCAGCATGCCCTGAGATCACGTGTGCCAGCAGCCAGGGTTGCACTGTCATTTCTGGGCACCTGTCCAAGGAGGGCAAGACTTCCTCACCCAAGGGTGGGTGGCGCTGACATCTTTCCCAGACCTGAGGACTGGCCCTACCCAGGGGCCTGGGTCAGCCCAGACCCACAAAGGATGTGCAGGCAGGGGCAGAACAAGGACACCTCCTGAACACCTGCGAGTACCACTCTGCGCCTACCTGGTGAAGCTGGACAGCTGAGACTGGGATCTGAACAGTGCCTGATGGGGCTGTCAGGAACACTTGGGGGACGCCACCTGCCACAGAGAGAGAGCACAAATGACACCATCCCTTAAACAGTGCTCCCCCACGGGTCCTTTCTCTGAGCTTCACGGAACTTCACAAGGATGAAAGTGCCTGTTTGCCTGCATTGAGGCATCCCAGAAGAAAGCCACACGTGCTAGTTTTCCAAATGCTGGGAGAAGCAGGCACAAGGCCCCAATCCAAGTCTTGCCTGCATGGCTTCATGCTGCTTTGCCCGCTCATGCAACCACACATCCTGTCCAGTCTCCTAGCTCCCTCCATTGCTTGCCCACATGCCACCCATCCCAGCAACCCTCACCCTTTTTCCTCAGCAAACAGGTCAAGCAATTCTTTGCATAGGAGAACGGTGGGATCTAAAAGCGAGCATCAAGCATCACCCTTGTACAGCCTCCAGGACTGCTTAGAAGAAGATTCTTTGAAATTAATATACAGCATAAATACATGTGAGACAAGAAAAATCAGCATGTGAGAGTACTTAAGGGAGCGCTGACCCAGGCAGCTGTCTTACCCTGATCCTGGACCTGGCCGTGGGACACCTGCATCGCTGAGGGCGCCTGTGAGAAAGCGTTGAGGACTGCAAGTCCACCATCCGCAAGGCCAGATGTGGGCGCGTACATCACCGCATGTGGGCTGGGGTACATCATGTGGCCACCCACAGTGGTTGGCACAGACGATGTCATGATGGTCGCCGGGAGGGTCACTGGCACCAAGACAGACTACATGTGAGCCACACGAAAAGGAGTCTGCTACACTCGCACACCTGCTCAGCACCCCTCCCTCAGCCACCCTTGGCATGCTGTCCTGAAGCAGAAGGTGCATGGAGATACCCATCTTGTTCTCTCAAGCTCTTGGGGAAAAGCCCCATGGAACAGGCAGGAGAGCTCAAACCTTTCCTTTCATGAGTATGAGAGGGCAGAAAAGCACAGCAGCCAAATACCCCCGGACTGAATTCAACCTGAGGTACAAGTTTCCTGACGAAGTTTTAATAAAGCTGTCGAACTGGATACAGCCTGCATCCAGGCACCTGAACTCAGATTTTGCGGACAACAGAGGTGTCCTCTGCATATACAGTAAAAATGTGAAGGAGATGTGAGCCAGTGCCTTATGCTAGGGGCAATGCTGACTTACTAAGAAACCATTTGAGAACTGGACAACCTGTAATCCCTTGTAAGGTGTCCTATGCACAGCAGCATCTACCTAGATATAGCATAGCACAGGGGCTGGCAACAAGGATAAATACACCTGGGAAACTGTCAGAAAGGCTGGGATAGAGTTAGTCTGAAGAAGGATCCTGGGCAGGGAGCAGGTGTGAGGTCTATTGGTGTGGGTTGTTATCAGCAGTGGTTAGGAAGGAAGACTGTAATGTCACAATTACCTGTTCCGCTAGAAGAGGTCTGGGTAAGGTCAGTGCTGCTGTCACTAGAGGGAGACGTTTGCTGCGGTGCCTGGTGCACCTGGATCGCCTGGACTGGGACCTGCTGAGCCATGGTACCACCTGGGGAGAGAGAGGAGCCCATGAGCCTGTGGCTCAGCAGAAAGACAGGCACTCTGGGCCATATGAAAGCCCCCCAATCCTTCTCTGGCTGCTCACAGCTCTGCAGCGTGGCTCTGCACTGTGCTGGGGAAGGCTAGCCAAAAGCAGCATGTGGCAGAAACCAGGCCCTACCCCAAAGAGTAGGCCAAAAACTGCTCTTTCCTGGCACCCAGGGGCCAAGGAGGGGTTAGCTGGCCTACAGGGCTCCAGAGAAAAAAGGAAAGGCCACAGGAGCTTTTGTCCAGCTCCCAGGCATGGTTCAGAAATGTCTGGGGCCCTCCTCACCACTCCTGGCTCCACCAGGACAGAAGATATTGGGAGGAGAGTGCCCAGCACATGCCCCCAGCACTGCCCACACTTAGCCAGCCCTCCAAGGATCATCTCACTGCAGCGAGCAGAACTGCAAGAGCCCAAATGCCCAGGCCAGCTGGGCCCCACTGCCTTCACACTCTGGAGCTCAGCTCCATCCTCCACAGGGCACCCAAGGAACAGCTATCTCACTCAGCTTGTGATCTCAAGGATGTCACAGTGCCTACAGAGGGATTAGAGACCACTGGATCACAAGGTGACTGCAAAGCTCTTCAGCTCCAGAGACAGAGCTCAGCACAGAAAGCTCCTGTCAGGCTCAAGTCAAGCCTCCAAAGGGAAGAATAAGGGATGCCAGAGAGCAGGAATCACCAGCCACCTTGCTCAGACTGGGCATCTCCCCACACACTACACCAGAGACACACGTCCATTATTCTCTAAGCTTCTCCAGATCACAAGGTAAATCTGGTCCCCTGCATGAAATCACGCTGTCTGCCAGGGCCCACAGAAGCCATAAGGGCTCCAAGAAAGTATGCAGGCTATCAGACTCATCAACTTGGGCACAAACAGGCAGGACACAAGAAATACTCTCTCACTCTCAGTGCTGGTCCTGAGATGATGGCTGCCCCCACAAGGGAGAGCCTAGCCCTGCTCTGAAACTCCACCCAGGAGCATGTCTGGCCCCAGTACAACACCTGGAGAGCCTTGATTCAGCACAACAAGAAATTCCTAAAAAGGACAATGCACACAAGGCAGCACAGCAGCACCACTTCCTCCTCTGCTCTGGGTCTCTCCTAATCTATCCTCTGCACTGTGGTTCAGTGACTGCAGATCCAAATACAAAAGCAAGGGCAGCTGCTCAAACATCAGCACTCAAAAAACATCCACTGGGCGCATCTGAGCCCCTGTGGTCTCCTTCCATCAGTCCTCCTAGCAGCACAGTTCAGCCTCAGCGCAGCTGCACCAGGGACCTGTCTCCTCTGTGTTTGCTAGCCGCAGGGCAAACCCTGGGCCAGGAGACTGACAACCCACTGCTTCCCTTGGTCTGTATATCCCAGGACACTGCTCTTCCTGTCTATGCCAAGCATTCTCTGCCCTGTCTTCCCATCTCTCCCCTGCGGCCACAGCCAGGGTGCCCTGTGCTCTGCCTCCTCTGTGCTCCCACCTGAGTTGGGAATCAGCTCTCTGGCCAGGACCAGGACTCCCACAGACACCTCCATCCCCCCACCTCAAGCAAGCGGAGGAGAAGCGAGTGCTGACCTGTCAGCGACACGATCTGCCCTCCAGCTCTGGCAGGGAAGCGGAAGACTGTCTGTTGTGCCGGCTGCAGCTGTCCAGCCGTACCCGTGACCACCTGGCCCTGCTGGCTGGAAAGAGCCAGGGAGTGCGGCTGTAACTGAGTGAGAGGAATGGTAGGGGTCCCCGGAGAAAGGGAAGCACCTGCCAAAAGGAGGGAGAAAGAAAGGCTTTGTCACCACCAGCTCTTTTCACTCCCTCCAGGCTTCTCGGTGCTGCCCTGGGGTCCCAGCTCAGCTCCCTGCCACCACGCCCTTCCCAGCAGCAGGGCCAGCTAGCAGCACTCTAAGGAAACAGTCACTACACAACCCTTCTCCAGCCACTGGCCCAGCTGGGCTCGAGCAAGGAATCCCAGCCAGGTTCACCCTACAGCAGCAATCACTCTGCTTCCTCCTGCCACTAGGTCTCCTCTCCTCTGGAGAGGGCAGCAACACACTCCAGGTGCAGACACGGATGGATGCAGTCCTCAGCCCCTAAAGGCACTGACCTGACATGAGGGTGAAGCCGGTGGGTATCGGCATGAGGCCCCCAGATGTCACTGCACTGGCTCCAGTAGTCTTCAGCACTGTCCCGTTGGCACTGGTGACTGCATTGGGGCTGATGCTGGCAGACACTGGCGCCAGGTAATTAGTGATGGGGAATGACGGGCCACTGCTGACCTGCATGGAGGTCGAGGTGGTGGGGGCTGTCTGGATGGTGGACGTTGTCCCCGGCAGGTTGGTGACAGTGAACGCTGGTTTCAGTGCGTCCTGAGGAAGGAGAGATTGTGACAACTCAGACCAGCCCTTGGATCTGGTCAACATCTGCCCACAAGACCAAACCAGACTCCATAGGTTGCATCCCCGTGCTAAACCATACCCCCATAGCCTACTGCCAGCACATGGAGCAGAGCCAGGGTAGCAGAGAGGAGTTGCTTGTACAAGCATGAGGAGACTGTGCCCAATAATGCAGCACGAGGAGAGCTGGAGAGAGCTCATCGTAAACCTTGGATATAAGCCCAGGGCCACACGGGTCCCCTGAGAGACTTCCCTGCAAGACAACAGGGGATAAAGCAACCCTTCCCCTCCCCAAAAGTCCCCATAGCCTCTAAGAAGAGAGCAGCCTCTTTTTTGGCACATAACAGGCAAAAGCAGTCCTTGCAGGGACAGATGTAAAGGCAAACACACTGTCTCCTGTCAGGAACACACACCACTTCCCTTATGGCAGGAAACACATGGCCAAGAACAAGCCGAGAACTGGCTCTTAAAGGCAGCTGTACACTGAAAGCAGCAAAGGAGAGGTGAGCAATGCCAGACCTGGAACACCAGGGAGGCCCAAACCCAGCCCTGACAGCTGCTTTGGTAGGCCCTGGGGAACGCCTCTGTAAATCTCCTGGAGCAAAGGGGAGAACCTGGCTAGGGGAAGCATCCTGCCAGTCTACTAGCAGGAGATGAGCACAAGGCAAATGCTTCCAAGGGACCCCGTATGTTAGCTACAGCCAGCACCCACCATGGTCCTGCAAGGAGCACTGGAGCTCTGTGCCTGTCGGAGAACAGCATCACCAGGGAAGCTAAGCACCAGGAGGAACAGGGCCCTGTGCTGGGCCAACACCAGCCTGAGAGGCTGGACGCCCGGGTCTGGGAACAAGGGAGGAACATGTACCCCAGGCTGCAGGGCACGTAACACCCAGTTTCTGCAGTTTCAAAGCATGTGGCTGGACATGGCTTGGCTCTGCAGGAACCAACCAAGCCCAGCACAATCCCTGCTGCCCCTGGCAGTCACAATCCGCCTAACATGCCTCCTTCCCCTAAATCCCCTTTTGGATACCCAGGGTCTCCATGGCCCCTCTCCTGCCCTACTGGCCAAGAGCAGACTGCAAATACACCACTCCCCAGGAGACCATGCCACAGGGGACCCGTGCCCTGCCACGACTGCCAGCACGCCTGGGAAGAGTTAAGGCTGCCACACTCCCACCCCTCCCACTGCCGGCTGGTGGGCCCAGCTCTCCCACGTGCTAAGCCTTGTTCCCAGCTTGTCAAGCTGCCAGGAACAAGGAATTCACAGCTCAACGAACAGCTAAAAAAGGGAAGGCAGCCCATTTTGGACAGGGGGAGCCAATCCTGGGCACTCAGCCGTGCCCCAGGGCCTGGGGAAGGAGGAGAGAAACACCCCTCCACCTTGGCACTGCAGTCCCTGAAGTCCAAATTAGAAGAGGCACGTGGTAACGGAGCGGAGCCCAGCAGAGGCACTTTCCATTAGCTCAACCACAAACTCCTGCCATCCCACATGGGGCATGGAGGCTGTGGGCACCCTCCCCACGTGGTTGACAGGGAAGAGCTCCCCCCAGCCCACTAGGTCATGGAAGCCATAGCAGAGCAGGGTGGGTCCTGTTCCCAGCTGGAAAAGCCAGGCTTCCTCATCCCCAGGCATAGCCCTGAAGCTGTACATCCCTGAGATATAGTCCCCAAGCAGCCAGGGCACTTGGCATCCCTCCACACTCCATACTCTCAGGGCTGCAGGAGGCATCCCAGAAGATTCACAGCACCCTGCTCAGGGAGATTCCCGGGACTCCCTAGAAGCACAAGGGCAAAGCTCAGTGTGATCAGAACAGCAAAGGTGCTTGGGAGAGATGCTGTACCAGCAGGCTCAAATCATGTATACCCCTTCTCTGCCCTCCCTACTCCGCCACAGGTGACACTCATATTCCTCCCCTCTTTGCTGCGTTTATCTTGGGCTGCAGCAATAGCTCCCAGTTACAGAAAGAGAGCTGGGAGAGACCTTGGGATTGGACATCCGTTGCCTTCTCCCCATGCCTGTCTGTGATCCCTCAGAGCCCCTGGGCACCTTGGCTCCCCCCAGCACCCTGCAAAGCCTAGACTACATGTGCAAGGGCAGCCTTCAATAGAAGCCGAGTCATGGATCACCTTCAGCAGAGATTACCCAAAGGGGCTATGGACAACCCCTGAAGGCCCTTCTCTTCCTGATCCAGCTGCACATCCATTCCCCACCATAGCTCACTGCAAACTTCAGTTTGCAGAACAGCTCCTGGGGAATCAACATGCAGTAGAGAGGTGCGGCGTAGCAGATGTCTGCACAGATCCGCACCACTGTGTGTGCTTGATAAATGCTATACAGCATGAGTAGATCACAGGGTATGGCCCAGGCCATCTGATGCCCATCCTGGACCATAGTAGAGTCTTGGGGACAGAAACGATCCTAACTCCACAGCTTCTGGAGACTGCCTGGGACAATGCTGTTCAGCATGGCCCAGACCCCCCAGTCAGCATTATTACGTGGACGTTGCAGGACAACTGGTCTTGGAAGTACACGGGAGATCCCAACCTGGTCTGTATTCCGTATAGGGCAGAAAGTCCCATCTTTCCCCCACCCCAAAAAGAGATGACCAGATCAGGGCTACTCCCATGCTCTCACCCCAATCTAGAGCCCTCAAGCTTCCTCCAAAATACGCTCCCCCACAACACCACATCCAGGAGACTATGTGAGGACATAGTGTCATTTGGGGCCCACAAAAGACCAGATACGTCAGCATATAACAGTATCATTGTGAGGATATAGCTGCTGTCTTTAAAGTACAGTGTGCCCCAGTCCCAGCTGCAGTCCGAGCTCAGTTCCATGGCAGGGAGTTGGGGTTTGGCACAGCAGGAGGAGCTCATAGCTGCTGCTGGGTGTAGCACAAAGGAATACCAGTGGGCTACTGACTGCAGGTAACTGGCTGCATTGCTCCCCTCCTCTGCTGCAGCAGCTGAACACAAGCAGGTTTTGTCCATACAGAAGTCCAGGAAGCAGAGTTTACAGGAAGGCCAGGGAGCAACTGCCCAACCCTCTCAGAGCACCCTATGTGGCTGGACCTGACAGCCCAGGCACTTAATTTCCTGCCACCTCCTCCAACGAGGCACCCATAACCCAGCCCTGCGTACCACCCACCCCCCCACAAGGATGCCAGCCATCCAGTACGGCCTACCCACAGGCTCCCTTCATTCTCAGGTAGGTTCAGTCAGAATGTCAAGCAGAAGACAGGGCCACAGGGTTCCTCCAGCCCCACACCAAATGCTGGCTGTGCCCATAAGGCACCCCACTCACCCTTGTGAGTACCGGGATGGAGCTTGCAGGGCACTAAGTGGGGGCTGCATCAGAAAGCAGGCAGAGAGAAGTTGTGTTAAGATCTCCTCTGCAGAGTAACTGCACCCCAAGAGCGCACTTCCTTTGGGGCCACCTGGCAATATTTTCACAGAAAATCTTAAGAGACATGATGTGGACAAGGCTCATGACAGGAACAGGTCAGCTGCCATGCACAGCACTTCCTGCACAGCCAAATTACTCCAGGCACAGGTAATTTGTCTCATTACAAAATGCCCTCAGGACTTGCCTTTTCATGCAAAAGAAGCCCAAGAGACACCAGTCCTTACAAACACAGGCTGCACAAGGGAGAAACTGCTGGTGACAATGGGCTCCTTTGCCTACTGGAAAGGGCTGGCACAACTTGCACTAGGAATCAGACATGCCCAGGAGGGTCACGCCAGATTGGGACAGCCAGGACTGTTGTTGGGCTCCCATCAGCAGGAGGCCTTCCTGTGGACTCTTCTGGGCTCCAGCACAGAGCTCTCCAGCCAGCAACACCTTGGCCCACCACAGCTCCTCTGCCTGCAGGGATCTCTGTGACTGCTGATACTTCTCAAGGCTCAGCAGCACTTAACTTCTGCTTGGTGCAGCACTGCATACACGTGGGGAAGAGGGCATGGAGGAATTGCGGCTCAAGAAAGATCTCAGACAGCCATCTCCAGGCTCTGTCTGCTTAATATTTAGTGGCTACTGTACAGCAAGGATGCTGCTGTGGCTTGCATACAGCTGGCTGGAGGGCTCCTAGAGTAAGGCCACAGTTCATCTGGAAGGATGCTTTTACAGCAAGCCCAGTACCCATGCTGTGAGCACAGGTACAGCAGAGCTGCAGCAACTCGCAGCACCCAGCGGCACTCCACACAAACCCAGGAAGCTGTGGCACAACCCCCAGTTCAGCATGTAGTCGCAGCATTGCGCCACAAACTCCCCTGCCTCCCACGTCCAAGGGCCTGCAGACCCGAGCACCAGCCTGTAAAGGAAGCAGCAGGGATACAGGAGCCAGCTTTCTTGCAAGAGCTCCGAGGAACAGCACCAGGAAATGCAGGGACAAGACAGGGCCCTCCCAGCAGAAAAGGGTCATTGCCTGACTCTGCACCCACAAGCACGCCCTCTGCAGCACCCTGGGTGAGAGGCCACAAGTAACACGGGCAGGCAAGGGCCAGCGCCTGCAGGGACACCAGGCAGGGAGCAGAAAGAGTCCGTCCAGCCAAATGTTTCCATTCCCTATGTCCTCCCTGCCCCCTTCCAAAACAGCACCAAAGCAAGAGACAGCTGCAGCTTATAAGGAATGTGAGGGGCCCTGCCAGGGACTCTGGCGAGGGAAACCAGGCCTTATAAGGCCATGGAGGCAGAATCAAATTTTTATCAATGAGTGCAAGAGCATAGAGACGCCCGGGGAGAGATAACAGTGTCGAGAGCTGGCTGGGGGGGGGGCTGGGCTGGTGGGGAGCCCCTGCTGCAAAAGCCAGGGCCAGGACACCTGCCACCCACTTCCCTCCCTCTCTGAATCACCACTACCACCAGCCAAGTGAAGGAGCCAGGCCTGAGAGGCCACAAAAGCTCGCTGGAGTTGCAGCAAAAGGGGACCCATCCTCAGCTTCCCAAGCTGCTATTCAAGGAGGGCTGGGGACAATCAAGGCTCCCAGCACAGCCCCGCAGGCACAGCCCGTACCCTCCAGGGTGCCCGGGTGTGCAGCTGAGCACAGGAACGTTACCTTGGTCTCCCCACTGCTGTCCGACTCAGACACCTGGTAGGTGAGGTCCGTCTCCTCAAAGCCCGTGGCGCTCATGCGCTGGTCAGTGGTCGGGTCTGAGCGTGGGGGCGAGTCTGGGGAGTTGAGGCACGTTTGAATCAACGCCTTCCCCGTCTCACTGGTGATCATGGGCTGCAGTTTCCGTGTAGCAAACGTGTACACATGGCCCGTCTCACTGGCCACCAGCAGCAGGACTTGAGTACCCGTCAACGTAGAAAGCTCGTAGGCCTGCCAGCAGCACAAGGGAAGAACAGGAAGTCACAGATGGCAGGGACACATACAGTGCAGGTCAAGTCCCCGACATGTCCCTGTGCTCCCAGCACAGCCCTCCTTTTGGTCACACCAGCTCCAGCTCCCTGTCACCCCAGAGGAGCTACGGCCTCTAAAACCAACTCAAGATCAGTTCCCTAGAGGTTGAAGTGCTTCATGCTGTGTTCCCACCTCCTTTAGTATACCCTTAGGGGATGTGCATGTCAAGAGGCCACAGAAAAAGAGCGGTCCCCTCAGGAGGGCCAGAGGACATGGGGGACACTGGGTTGTCCCCATTCTAGAAATCCCACCTGCTTCTCCAGATACATCTGGATGCCTCAGCCCTTCACCTCTGCTGAGCCCTGTAAGAGGATGCTGCCCAGCCCACATGTCTCTGCTATATCTTTTCCCTCACTGACACCCCAGCCAGGCCAGGACCAAGACTCCTCTCTCAGTCTTCACAGCCCCGAGCACAGCTGCACCCAAACATCCCTGCAGTGAGGTTACCATCCCCCAGGACTGACCTGTGGGCTAGGAAGAACACTCTTCATATACCATCATGGCACACTCAGTGGTCTCACACAAGCCGCCCCAGATAGGATAACCCCATTCTATATCCTGTGCAGCCAGGATGTGCCCAGCAGTACCCTACAACCATTCCCACCTTCCCAGGGTGCATGAAGCCCAGCTCAGCTGGGACACAGCGCTGCCTAGTTGTTCCGAGGATGCTACAAGCACCGACAGGGACGCAGAGGAACCAGCAGCATCCAACTGCACACAATATCCCCCAAGTTTCTAATCTGTCTTTGCACAACGGCT